TTTTACTTACTTCTCCTTGAGATGGTAAATGCACATTATGGAGTCCAGGTCCAAAGTTTACTTCCGCCTCAGCAGTATCTAAATTTATTACTTTGATTTGGGTTTGCCCTGCTACAGGGAAGACTGGAAGAGTTTTCTGGGGGGAGGAGAGAAAGGAAAAAAGAGTGAAATAAATGAACTAGCAAGTCATATGAAACATACCGTAATAATTACAGTGACTAATTATTCTGAAGAAAATTGACAATTCCATGACAGTCCTTCACAATTAACATGTACCATGTTACAACATTGCAAATAGTTTTAGCTACTGCTGCTGTGTAATCCCTTACCACCTTAACAAGAAAGGACACTTCTTAACAAAGAGCACTCCACAAGCATATAACTCCTATCCAGATTCCTTCTGTGTTCTGACCATCGTCACAAGGATATAGGCCAATAGGTTCTGTGCCTCTTTTACTCACGGCAAGCAATAAAAAAAAAAAAAAAGGCACAGCTACAAGCGGGACTCTCCAAAAGGCACAGCTACAAGCGGGACTCTCCAAAAGGCACAGCTAATCTCACTCCACATCCAAAGATAGAAGGGGAAAGAAAAAAAAGACTATTTGGAGTTCTCACTTTCTACCCAATCAAACAAACAAACGCCTTTGGATTAGTAGGAGAACAAAAGTCACCTTAGTACCTGCAAGCATAAAAAATTGGCACCACTATATATATTTTCATCTCTTCCCCACAAGTGTTACCTTGCCTATACATTTTAATGCTGCAATCTTTTCCATGCTCTCCTTTCATATCTCACCATCCAAAAAAAAGAAAAAAGCTCTCTTGCCTCTTTTTGGCAGGTAATCTATATCTACCACTAGGATGTAAAATTTTTTTTTTTTGCGGGGGGGGGGGGCAGAGCGAGCGAGAGAGAGAGAGCGCGCGCACACTCTAGTACACAGAGGCAAGACGGTTTATGCGCTACTTACACCCTAAAAGGGCTTAAGACATGTTAGAACTGCACCCATTTGCACTACCTGAAGACCTTGCTTTTCAAACTTTATCATTGACAAGTAAATATATAGCTGGTATTTCAATTCTTGCTTTGTGACACTAATTGTTCTGGATATCAGGCTTGGCCTCCACTCAAAGCATGAGAAACAAATACAAAAGAATTCCCCTATAAACCAAACAATTAAGCCTGTTTTTCCAACTTTGACCCTCAAACAAATACCTCAAAAAAATGTGTTTGAGAGACTTATGAAGATAAAAATCATCTGATCTAGATCACTCTGTATTCCATCACCCTCCCCCCTGCAAAAAAATCAGTGGTGTAACTAGGACAGGCCAACAGGGGCAGCTGTGCTGAAAGCCAGCTGGGGGGGGGTGGGGCAGCAACAGCTACCCCTGCAGCCACACAGTTGTGCTTGTGGTGCAGCAGCAGCAGCAGCAGCAGCAAGTTGCTGCTGCCCATGTGTGCGCAGCAGCTGCCCAGGGTACCCAGCCACACTGTCATACTTCTCACTTATGCTTCCCCATGCCTCCATTTTTCATATTCATGTTTAGTTAACAGGTTTAGAAATGGAGTTATTCATTGACACAGTGGGAATCATCTTCACTCACCCAAATCTGTACTAAAATATCATTGCTTAGATGGACTAAATGATAACTTACATCTATTTGCACTTGTACCAACGCAGCAGCAACAAATGCCATAGCTGCTAGGAACATACCAACCGTCATTCTCCTCAGGGGCCTAAAATGGCAACAAAAGAAACAAAAAACACACACCTTAGTGGCAGTACTATCCCAAAGCTTCAACTGTGATTTTTCCTTTTCATTACAGAAGACAGTATAGTGTTCTCTTTTGGATAACTAATACAGTTACACATCTCATTAAACCTCATGCATAGATGTTAGTTGTAGCTACCCTATGGGGACATCTAAACTTCTTGTATAAGGTCAGTTGGATCTTAAGTGACAGGTTACAAAGGTGTGTGGCTCATTTCTAATGTTAATATAATTTGTTTAGATAATGGCCAAGTTTGCATAGTTGTTTTGAAGAGTTTAAACTTGATAGTTATGCTCCGTAAGGAGGATTTCTTTTTGTGCATACATTGCAGTGGTAAACAATGATAAAACCTGAACATAACTATTTTTTTCTCCAATTAAGTAAAAATGACAGGATTTTTTGGCTTACTGTCATTTAAGAAGTGACTGAATTCAATACTCTGGCATTAAAAGTACATTTATGCCATGTGATGCTAAACATTTGTATTCCCAGGAAGGAACAAAAAAAACTCTACCTTTTCAATTTAAACCAAAGCTTAGTGGGGGAAAAGAGATAAGCTAGTAAGTTTCCAAGTTAAATTCTCCTATACCCGCACTTTTCTAAAAAAAAAGTGGGACAATTTTCATAAAATGGAACAATACAGTTTCATTAAATTTAAAAATTGATTAATTCCTCTTACCATTTGTTTGATTCTATTTAGAAGCAATTCCCAGACAGCTCCTGTGTATTTTTGTTTGTAGTGTTATACACAGAGCTGGTAAACTCAAATTCAGAAAAGGAAATAAGGTCACTGAGGAATAAACTGAGGAATACCTTGTAGATGCCAAGAATAGAGAGTTTAATTATAAATCCCGTTAAAAAAAAAAAAAGCCTTAAAGAGTTCAGTTACAAGATTTCAAGCTCCTTGCTAAGACCCCACTTTACAGTGTGAGAAAGCACTGGCTGGATAGACATTTTTCATGCCACTAAGGCTGAATTTCAGCCGGCTCCTAAAAAAGGTTTGTCTTTTTTTTAGTATTATCTAGACTAGGAAAATGGCTGCATTTGAGTTAAGCCAAACCAATTTAGGTCAGTTGAAAACCCTCCAACACCAGCTTAACTGAGTCAATGCAATTGAAAAAGGTCTCTCTCTCTTTTCCTTAAAAAAAAAAAAAAAAGCTTGTGGTTCCTCCTCCCTTGTTACAAATAGTGCACCTCCTTCATATTTTCTAAATTGCATTCCAAACAGTGCTGCACTGCTGACAGAGGGAGCTATGTGAATAGCTAATTAGTTTTTACCTACAACCTCTAGTGACCCACCATTGGCTCTATTCAGTTAAAAGGCAAAGATACTTTCACAGAAGAGCCACATACATTTAATTTTCATACTGCAAAACAGAAATTAAGGATGAAACTAACAACAACATACTGCCTCCCTTTAAGTCAAGTGAATTTTTACTATTAACTCCACAGCGGCCAGGATTTCACCTTCACTTCACTGAAGTCTCTGGGCACTTGTACGTATGACAGTCATCCCAATGTACACGTGATGAAAATGTTGTGTGGGGCTTAATGGAGTTGCATTACATGCACACCAGTTTTGGTGTTTTAGATTAGTTTGCAATGATGCAAACTTAACTAAAAAGATGCATTGCACCTGTCAGCTCACCACCTGGGCGCAGGAGGGGTGGGCAGGCTTCACAGGAAGAAAAAAGGATTGAGCCCCTTTCCACTTCTACTTTCAGCAAGTGCATTCTGAAGGCAGAAGCAGCAAAGAGCCCGATCCTTCCCCTGCCCCCACTCTCCCTCCTTCTGGCAGAGCATGCCTGCCTGCCTCTCCCCCACAAGCTGCCAGCAGGCTAAGCAGCCCCTGAACTGCAGGGAGCCCTGGTTCTTCCTTCTGCAGCAGGGGTGCACCTCCAGGCAGGCTGCTAGTCGGCCAGGTGCTGCCCCGGCTCAGATGCAACACCCAACCCAATCCCACTTTTCCCTGAGCCAGCCTGCTGGGCACTGCTTCCTGGATGGGCTCAGGGAAGAGCTGGATGGGGCCAGGTGCTTCTTCCAAGCTGGAGCAAGCACCCACCCTGATAGCAGGCCACCCAGGCAGCCCCAAGGGTGCCGCCGCCACCACCACCGAGGGAAGAATCAGGGCCCCCTGCAGCTTGGGGGCCACTTGCCCTGCTGGCAGCTCAACCCCCCACCCCCCACCTGTGGGCAGGGTCTGGCTTGGACAAAAAACCCCAAACAGTAATGTGACAAAACTATTGAAATGGTGGGTTTTTAATTGAAACCCACCATTTCAATTTTTAGGGGGTACAGAATAAAACCCTGAGAACTAACCCCGTGCCACACCTACAAGCACCCTCTATCTTTCTCACTGGGGGGTTATATATGGATTCCAGCCAAGGGCATCTACAGAAATCAAAATGCCTTTTACATTCATCTGTTATTCATAGGCGTGGACCTTGATTTTCTATTTTGGTGGAAGTCTTCTTGGTTGCATTATTATAAGCATAACAATTTAAAGGCAAGTCATTTACAAACCTAAGCTGGTCAGCCAAAATATGCATCAACTTACGTGAAATTGATCCCGCATTTTTTAATTAAAGGATAAACCACGGTATCTACAACTGGGACCATAACAATGATCAGGATTGGGTTCACAGTCTAATATAAAAATTATGAGAGAGAAAAAAAAAGTTAAGACCTTACCAATGTCTCTTTAAATAAAAATATAAGAGTGATATAAAATAATCTTAGGGGACCTTTAAAAACCCCAAAACCCACCCCCTCAAACATAAGAGATGAACGTACCTGCATTTGGTCTGGCTGAATCTGAATAGCTCCCTGGAAAAAAAAGAAGAGGGTAGATATGGCTTAATATTAGAACTCAAATGAAACAAATAAAACTTTTTTTTAAAATACTACATTTATGTTCAAGTAACTTACAAAGTCGCCGTTCATTGTAGTGGCTTGCAATGTCCATCTCGATCCCTTAAAACACAAAGTAATAATGAAATGCTACAGTAAAGCAATACACTAAAATTTTCCTTACACTTTTATAGCAAGGAAAGATGGGGAGGGAGGAATCCATGGCAAGGGAAGAGAAGAAGAGCTATTTTGTTTTAGGATTTTCTTCTTCTGCATCAATATTAGAAAAGGGTCTGCTCCTGAATGATTTGAAGCAGGGGGTGTCAAACTCATCAGGCCCTGCAAGATGGGTGAGCACTGTGGGGCTGGCCTGCAGAACAGCCCCATGCACCAGATCCACCATATCCCAACCCCCATTCCTACATGTCTCAGTACACACCAGATTGACTGCACCTGCCACATGCAGCACACAGGGCCAGTCCAGCACACGAACAGACCAGCATGCTGTATGCACTAAGACCCACAGGCTGGATGAGAGGGTTCCACAGGCCATATTTGTCCTGCAGGCCCTCTCTCTGACATCCAGTTTAAAGGAAAGGTTTCTTACAATTCATTTCACCATCCACTCATTGAATTTACAAACAAACAAAATATATAGCAAGAGTTGAAATGCTACATTAGAATCAGAGTATAAATTGTTATACTCACACATACACATCCCCATGGACAGATCTAGGATTTTATAAGAAGAGGGGGAGGTGGCAGGAGCAGCCACCAGCACTGCAGAGGTTGCTGCAACTCCTGCCACAGCTTCCCCCCCACCTATAGGTGGGCATACCCTGCAGCAGAAGCAGCAGGGGACTTGAAGACCTCCAGTCAATTCCCTTTGCTTCCTCTTCATGCTCAGCAACATGGCCCCTCCCCTCAATTTCCCACCCCCCTCATGTCAGCCACTGTCACCATCCTCATCCACAGCCACAGCCACCTTAGGGAAGGCGGGGAGGCTCCACAGCTGTGCCAGCCTCACTCCAGCCAAGCTGTGGGGAATGGGATCAGCTGGGAACACAAGCAGAAGTGGTGGTTAGGTTCCCTTCTTCCACCCCTGCTCCCAGGCAGGCAGGAAACACCATCAGGGACTGAGCAAAAAAAAAAAATGGAACCCACCTAGTGCTGCTTCTATCCTTGGCTGAGTCCAACTCACTCCAAATAGGAGTATTTGGAGCGTTTCCTGTCCCCCTCCTCCCCAAGCCATAGGGACAGTGGGACCAGCAGCAGCAGGTAGGGGAAGTAGGGAAATGGGAGGGGATGGGACATGCCAGATGGGAAGGGAACAGGCAGAATTCTTACTTCCTTTCAGAACTTAAATAAAGAGTTATCCCCAACTTCTACTTCAGTGGCATTGACTGAGAGCAGGCTGCATCCACATCACTGTAACCCCTCCGGATCTGCCCCTGCACATCCCTTAAAACACGGGAATATGCCATTTAAAATTTGCAGAGTAATTAACAGGATATTAATTCTTTATTATATATTTGGGATATGCACATCATAACAGAATATGCATCATTATCAAGAGATACTCAATTCCATAATAGGTATTTAGTCCTGAAATAAATTTGTAGAAGGGGTCATCTATTAATCTTTATTGCTCATTGCTGCCAAATTACAGCTGGACCCAGGAAAGCTATATTATATGAAAACAAAGTTCAATATATAAACAGAGTTTGACCAAAAACTTTCAAACCTGGGAATTTACAGCAAGATTTCTAAATCTGTATGTAGGCACAAAATATGAAAAGTCTATTCTTAAGAGGGCTAAGCATCAACTCATCCCACTGAAATCAAGGGATTAGGAAACTAATTCATAAACACATAGGTTTGAAATATTGTTATATCTGCACCAACTGAATAGTTCAATGATTTCTTATTTGGATGATCATGTTTAAGAATAGTGAGATACCAAAGCATTTAGAGTACAAGTCTATGCTGTACCTCTTATTTGACTGTGCATAAGCAGTAGGAGCTAACCCAGTTTTTATCCCCCCCAGTCCTGGCCGATAACTAAAACAGCTGTTCTACCCCCACCCCTTGTTATAGGAGCTTCATCTGGCTTTGTTGGCTGCAAAAGTGCCTGGAATTTCTGAAGTAATGTGCCAGGCCCCAACATCTGGCATCTAGGTCCCCAAACAGCAGCTCCCTGGCTGTTTTCTAGAGTGTCTGGGGGAATCCACATCAAGCTGGCAATACAGTTGTAGAGTCTTTGGGTGTGTATAGATGAAACAGGGGGCCTAAATTGAAGTGGTGGGGTTTTAAAAAACACCGCTTCAATTTTGGGCTGATTAAACCCCTGTGTTACACTCACACCCCACTGCCTTACCTGCCTCTCCCGAGGGGAGGAGAGGGCAAGCAGGCAGCCGAGGCTTCTCACAGCAGCGGTCCCCCCCAGGCAGTACCCACCCTCAGGCACCCAGCTTGGGCAATTATACAGCTGCGTAACCACACTTTATGCACAATGAAACGGTATTCCACAAGCAAGTAGATACATAACTATCCACATGGCTACTTGGCAGGTTGCAGGGTAGGCTGCACTCTGGCTGGGCAGGGATGTTGCTCCACAGACAAATCCTAAAAGTCTGATTTGGCAAAAAAAGTGAGGAGGAAGGCCCTCCCATGTTTCAGCCCAATAATCTAGTGATTAGAGAACTCATACCAGAAGCAGGAAGCCCAGGTTCTAGGCCCCACCCTCACCCAGGAAGGGGCTTGAGCCTGCCTTACCCAGTGCTCTCTCCAGTCTTCCTTTTCCCATTGTATCCTTGGATCTTGGATTTGATATTCATTGGATAAAATGGATGGACAGCTGCAGGGATGTTTCTGTCCCATTGAGAACAAACATGCAGAGGCCTCTGCTGTTCCAGAGCAGCAACCATCTCACTAAGCCACATACTCTCCAGCTTGGTCTCATCCTCCTGGCCCCACATAGCTCTCTCAACTCACAATAAGTATTAGTTTGGATTGTCAATAAGTCACACTGCTCAACCACGGTCCAAAATTCTGCTCTCAGCTATGGGCCTGCTACAGCCATTGATTTCACAGCTGAAAGTAATTGCAGGTATAAGTTACAAAAACATTAAATATTTGTTCTACATTACCTGCTGATCAAAGAGTGCCCAGAACATGGGGAGAGGAATGTACAGGAAAAGCACCCTCAAGACCATCTTAGTCTGAGTAATAAGTCGGTTCTATAATGGAAGAAGAATAGAAGTTGATAAGTTAGCCCACAAGTTCAATACACATTTGTCTTATTACATGCATGGTACATTCATACCAACATCTTAAAACATAGGCCCTGATCACACAAGTACACATAGTGAACTTCACTGGTTGGGCATATGCTCATGGCAAATGGGGATACGCACAGTGCTTAAAGTGCAACACATGCATAAATCTTTGCATGTCTAGGATCTAAAATTCTCTTGGGGCCTAAGCTAACATGACAACTGAGGACAGTAACCAAGAGAGGCACTGGTATGCATGGACAAGAGATGGGAGGAAGGATGAACAGGGAAATACAGAAACAAAATCCCCAATTACTCAGTAAGGTCCATATATATTTTGAGGATTCCAATGGACTACTTTTCTTGTTAGTATTATTTTCTCATCTCCCATATGTGACATAGCAGAAGTTCAGTTTTAAGGGGTTTGAATGACAAGGTAGATTTGATAAGTGTATTACATATATGGGGAGCTGCATGAAAGAAAGATGTTCAGGCAGGAGCAAGAGACAGGATATAGGGGCAAACGGTTTGTGTCACTGAAGACAAGACAGACAAAAGGAAACGTAGATTGGTCCCGAATGGTATAGACCTTTGGAAGTCATTAAAAGGATCTTGAAAATCAACATGGAGTACTATGTGTAGGTAGTGGAGAGATGTAGTGATGGCCCCAATTACTACCTTGGTAACATTTTAGTTCATAAGTTTTCAAGATCATCTTTAAGCACAAGAGCTAGAAATGGTAAGGCAGATCACTGGTGTAAGCTGTCACAAGGTCACTGGATTTAATGGGCTTGTTGCAGTTTATGCCAACTGAAACCAGACTCATTTTTACTGTAAGCTTAGATTCTAGAACACTATGCCACAGAAAGGAGTAGATTGTGACAATTACAACATTTACTTCAATCCTCATTAGTCATGTGGCTCATTTACACAGGTGGCCTGTGTAAGTATAGGTTTAATACATATTTACCTATTATATATAAAACTTATATTATAATACACAGAGGCTAAGAACAGACATTGCATTTGTCCCCGGACAAAGTTGTGTCTATATTTCTCCCAGAACAGAAAATATCCTGGAATTGGCACAGACACACACACTACCCCTTCTAAATCAGGGTTGAGTGAGCAACTGAATGCATGGCTGTTTTTCTGCTACTGATTCAGTGCAGTCCTGAGAGAACTATTCAAATGCACTTTGTGTTGCCTTGGGATAAACTGTTAGTACTTCTTATCCCTTTTTAGGATTTATCCCAGGACCAGACATGGGCACCCGAATGACTGCACTTTCGTCCTGCAAGAAATGCCTTATCCTGGAGCAAAGCGTGACATCTGTTTATAGCTACACACTATAGCATGTGCACATAATACATATACATACATATGTGGGACTTCATCTGACATTTGTTTTGAAGCTGGGACACTGATATTAAGACCATAATATTTACACTGATGATGCTGATTACTTGCTAAGATAGGCACCAGTTAAATCTTAGGCATTTTTGCAAGAGAAACAGTTTTTGTTCAGCCCATTGTTATTTCCTCAGTGCAGCACATGATCACGCACGAAAGCTGGGATTCCTCCGAGAGGGACAGACACTACATTAAAGCATGCTACCATCATGACATCTCACCTGAGCAGTTAAGTTTAGTCAGAGACCTACCTCAAGATTGGTGGAGACAAGCATATAGATTAGCGGCACTGGTATGCTGTTTAGAGATTATGTACCCAGTGACCAAAGCAAATGGAACAGAATAGGAAAGAAATAAGTCTCTCCATGAATTCACATGCGCACAAAAATTACTTACGTCATACTTTTCACTAGCCCAGTCCAACCAGTGTTCTCTTTTGGGGAATTGCTTGCTCCGATGTCGAAACCTGTTTCTAACAGCAAACTGTGAAGAGACCATTTGTACATTCTGATTAAATGTGCCAACTGCCATTCAAAAATGACATGACAAATATTTATAGATGTAAAAAAAAAAAAACAAAAAAAACCAAAGACTTATTGTCCCAAGGGAATCTTTAAAAACAAGTTTCATTTTTTGTTGTATTTTCCTAATATTTTTGTTCAGTGAAGAATTTAAAAGTAGCTTTGCTAATATTTCTTATGGAAAATACTGGACCTCCCACATGAAATATCCCTTAAGTCCTGTACAGTCAGATTGGAGAAGGGATGACCAACAACATTCTAAATTATTGTCAACAGCACAAGTAAGGCTGGAGAAGAGATGGTGATTATCAGCCTGTTGAAAACAAGCAATTGACAGATGCAGCTGAATAGCAAGGGGGTTCTGCAGTGTCTCAGTCTTTAATAACAGATAACAAAAAGGTTGCTGTCAATGGTAATTACTGTATCAAGATCTGGAATTGGAAAGTAATTTCAGTGAACAGGCTTATCTACAATTTAAAAAAAAAAAAAACACCTGGAAAAAAAAAATGCAACACACCCAAGTTATAAAACATACATTTTGACCCATTCTCTCTCCAAAATAGGAACATACAAGTTCATGGCGGAAGTATATCCATAGAAAGCCAAATCATGTAAGTTACAAACAATATCTCTCTCATGCTTTGGATGATATTTACAGAATGAAAGAAGGACCAATTTGTACTACCTTGGTAGAGCCATATGGGAAACAAAATGAGCCCTTCGGCATTCTAGTCCCATGAGCTGAGAGACATTAGCAAAGTTTGGGATAAGACTTTGCCATTGTAGAACTGGTCTCCCACAGTGCAAGAGGATGTGCGCTAGCTGTACCTTGTGCCCACAGAGATCCCCATAACAGTCCTTAAACTTCGAGCCCTAAATCTTGCCTAGGTCTCCCACAAATTTCTGCAATACAGTTAAATTAATAACAACTTCTTAGCTAAAAGAAAAATAAAACCCAACAACCATACACAAAACAAAAAACCTAGTGGCTGGATTCTTAATTTTAGTCCAGCTTGGCTTTTAAGTCAATGCAGGGTTATTTAAGATCCTTGCCTTCATTTTACAAGTCACTAGGCTGAAATCAAGAGACCAATACAGATCAGAGATGCACCAAAAACAACCCTCAGGAATGGTTCTGCCCCCCCTATTTTATAGGTAAAGTTAATCTTAGTTCCAACTGACAGTCAAAAGCCCAATATGGGTATGTCAATAAACTTGTGCCCTTAGGTTACACACTTGCCCCAACCCTACATAAGTATACACACAAAAGTGGAAGCACACTTTGGAAATTCATCCAGTAGGGGAAAAAAAAGTTACACTGTTTTGACATTAATTCTTCCAACCATGTTGTTCATGTGAAGTTTTACTTCTGGAAGAATTGTAACAACTAGTTTACAAATCATACGCTTTAAGGATTTAACAAATATTTTAACTTTTTGTACTTCATAAAGACCAACTTCATTTGAAAAATCTCAGCTCTGCTTTTCCAAGTGACCTGGCATTACTTACAGCAATGCATTTGGAAACTCGGACCATTATATTGCCTTGAGGTAGAACTTTCTTGTACATTCTGCTTCCAATTATGAATACAACTGAAATGAACAAAAGTATCAAGTCAGGGTTGATGGAAATTAGTGGAAGACACTTTGGTATACAAAGTAAATTATGAAGGGATAAGAAAGTAAACTTCTATAAAGAACACCATTCTATACAGCAATTGATATGCTTTTTTAATGCCTTCCAATATTTTTATTAAAACTAATATTCTTCATAATTTTGACTGGGGTTTTTGGTAAAAAGATATTATTCATTTATAAGATTTTCTCAGGCAAATAGTGATCATCTTCAGTAAGAATGAAGTTTTCCCAAGTAAAGACCCAAAAGAATAGAGAATACATGTTTGGGCCAGCAGTGTTTAACTGACAACTTTTTAATTAAACATTTCATTTTAGGAGGTAAGTGCAGTAGACACTGCAATTCTTATAATTTATGTAACTCCAAAGAGCTAAATGGGTCTAATAAATTTTTGGGTCTTGGTACTGAAGGATGAAATGCTCTTTCAGCAATATGCAGTTAAAGGTGTAGTGGTTTTGCATATGAAAAAGAGTCAATGAATATGTAACCTAAATGACATACAATAGAATATTTTAGTAGGGCAAACGCATTGCTTCCTGAATATAGTTCTAGTCTATGCTCATTCTCATCCTGGATACAAGAGTGAAGCTTTGCAAGACCTCCCACTTCTCTATGGAAGGGGGAGTGGCTTGGCCCTGTGGGGAAGAGGGGGCACAGCCCAGCTGTAACCTGGGCACCCAGAGGAAAGGGGGTGTAGCCTGGCTCCAATCTGGTCATGTGAGGTGTGGGTTGTGGCCCAGCTCCGACCAATCCTGTGGGGCTTGGAATTTTGGTAGCAGGGATTTTGGCCACCATGTTTCCCAACCCATGGAGGGCCCCACAGGCCAGATTCCAAGGCTGTGGAATGTATTTGGTCCGCAGGCCAGAAGTTGAGTGCCCCGGGTTAGATATGGAAAACTTCCTACTGCTCAGGTTCACAAAGCACTGGAACAGGGTACCCACAGACTCCATTGACTTCATGCCATCAGAAGTTTAAGAACAGGTCATGCAAATATCTATTATGGATGACCTAGTAACATACAGTCCAGGGGGCCTGCCTTCCAGACCTACATTTGAGTCTATAATTTCTTTTCTATTTTAACTTTTGCCAGAATAATATATGGGACCCTCCTGATTATTGCTGACAGATTACATAGTTGACAATGGGTAATCCCAGGGTATATGTATATATTTGCATACCTGTTGTTAGTCTTCAGATATGCAAATTCTACCCCAGGAATCATGGACTCAAAACAGATAGCGCTGACCTTGAATGCCACTTAAGTAGAGATTCCTAGTTCTCTTTCCCTAAGAAAATATAGATGAAATAATTTTCACAGTAAGCTTACCCAGTGCAACAGCCATGAGTGCTGCAGGAACTCCAAAGGCTAGTGGGTAACACCGTTGCTTGGTATGAATTCCACATTCTTCACCTGAACCAAAACACACAGATGTTAAGCAAGAGCATTGCTTGCTTTTGTAAGGAGTTTTGAAAAGGTTGTTACAGAAAACGTTTCTGTAGATATTACTGGTAAATATCTCAGTCGACATGCAATCAGCACTGAATAGGGTTTTTTTTGTTTTTGAGAGAGAGGCTTTCATTAAACAGGCAAAATTCAACCAAATGAATCCTGAAGAGAGGACCAAGCTCATAGGCCCCCCTAAAATAAGTTTGGACTGGCAGGATGCAGACATACAAGCATCTAAAAGATGTAGATGGTTATTAAAAATGGATGCTTCATAAAGTGATGAGGCAGTGGGAATTGCACCAATCTGGCATTGCCAACTGTAGGTGAAGGAGACGCAGTATAGTGCACTGTAATGCTGATAGAACAGGGAGGGGATGCAGCAAAAAGAGAACAAAGGAGAAATTGAATTGCATGACCCCCTTTTAAAATTAATGTGCCAATTTGCATCACTTTTAGTGCCAATTCAGGACTTTAAAAAAGGCCTCAGAAGATCTATTCTTTAGAATTGCAAGTTTTTGGGGGTAGGTAACAGAAAAAACTGTTGATCATTTAGTAATGAACTTCCCCTATGGTTATTGCACTAGTTTACTTAGTCGGATTTACATTCACTTTATGCTGTACTGAACTTGCTCTTGATCAGTGTGACAGACAGAAGTTTTAGATAAAGCACACTTGCAGCCATTTTTAAACCCATGGGAGCTTATACACATGACAAGTCAGGCCATGCTAGAAAGTTAAATTAAAAAACATAGAAGAAACCATTAAAAAACCCCAAACAAACCACACAACAAAAAACCAAGACTACTCTGACGTGTTCCAATTAGAATGTAAACCAGCACATGTGTAGGCAGCTCTCCAAGCTCACCATAGTGGGTGTGTGGACTTTGACCCTGTTTGTATAGCTCCAGAGTCGGGGGGGGGGGGGGGG